ATCAAATGAATTGAATATATATAAATTAAGAAAAATATATTATATAATTTTTAAGTCAATTCTAATTTTTCTTGTATTTCTTATCCTTTTATTTATCTTTCTTCTTTGCCTTTTTATCTCTTTTTTTCTTTTTAGATTTCTTGCCTTCACTTTTACTATTTTTCTGTTAAATAATCATCTGTTTTCTTTCTTCAATATCTTCATAGCATTAAATCTCCTCAACTCTTTTCAAATTGAGTCTGATCAAATGAAAATGTAAACACTCTTTCATATCATAATAATCATCGCAGTCACATTCAAGATCATACTTACCACTAGAATCCCCTCCAATTTAGACTAGCTTGACTGATCGTATTTTCATTATCTCAAATAATTTATCTTCAGTTATTTCATTAATTTCTACAAGCTTTTTAATCTCCTATGACTATGGTATTTAAAAGTAGCATTCCACAGTTTCTTATATATCCTTAAGAAAACTAAAGTTCTTATATAATCTTAACTAGAAGTCATTATCTTTAAAGTAGACATATCCTATTGTATTTCTGCTATTAGAACATTATTGTTGACTAGTTTCGCTATTTTTCCAATAAACAATAGGTTTTTTCAATCTAGATCTGAGAATGTATTACTAAATAAGGTCAAATGGCTAATTATTTGCATAGTTCATCGCATGAATACTGTATCTTTAGAGTGACAATGGGACTTCTGGATTTATATTAAGATTTGCAGTTGTATTTACTACATGAGTTTAAATGAATAATTGAAGATCTTTTATTAAGAACTCATTGATATTTTTTTAAGTGAAAAGTTTTTGAAAATTTTCAAATTCTTCGACTGATCTATTTACTGAAGGTATCCCGTGTGATCTATGGAAATTTCCAATAATCAAACCCTATAAATAAATTATGCATGCTAATTACTTACATTTTGATCTTTAAGATATTTATCCTCAAAAAATTCAATATAATTCTAGTACTTCCTCCGATATTCCTGTTTAACTAATTTCCAAATGTGGACTTAAAGTTCCTTTCATTAAACTTAGGATAATAAAATTAACTTTCTACATAGATCGCTTAGTCTTTCCTTTCTTTCCGACTTTGACTCTTTTGATTTTTTAGACTCTAACAGTGGGAAAAAGCTATTATCTTTAAGGTTTCTTTTTATCAGAGTAATGTACTGATGTCTGCATAGGCATGCTGTAATTTTATGCGCAGCGAGCTTTTTGACAGCCTTGATTATATTTATATCCTCATCAATTACTAAATGTGCTGGTTGAAATTCTATATTTAGCTACTCCATAGCCTTCCTGTGATGGTTTATTGCAGATAAAAAATGCTATAGGCTGTAGCTTGTAATTTTGATCATACCTTGTCATTATAGTCAGATACCTTGCTTAATACTTAGTGTTTTAAGTTTTTTTATCTTTATCTTTTTCGAACGTACTGAGCATTACATATTCTAGTTTTGACTCTGTTTTCATTGTTTTGTAGTTTTTTAATAGATTTATACTGCTGATTGATATGTATGATGGATCGTTAAATACCTCCCCTATTTGGTAACCAAGAATTTAGACTTTCGTCATGTTTAAAACTCACCCAGATTCATAGTCTTTATTGCTGAATTTATGTTTTTCTAACCAAGTTAAAAGCTCTTTGTTGAATTAAAAATGATACATCAATCTTTTATCTAAGGTCTTCTCAATCTATTTAAATATAACTCAGAGTTAAAATTGTAGTCAAGCTGAATTTGAGTTTTAAAATTAGTGATTATTTATTAAAACTGTAATTTTAATTATTCAATTCATTGGCTGATTTTATTCATGGGGTTTTGGGGTTTTGGGGTTTTGGGG